TGATCCTTTTTCTTTAAATCCATAATACAATATTTATATGCACCCATTAATTTCACTGAGTTGAGGCATTTGTATATAATCCAGAAACAAGTGATTTGATATTCTGAAATGGGTTGACTGTGTAATCCGATATTGGGTGCTTCAAGGGAGAGAAGTCACATGCTGCTGACTTCTGTTTTTGTTACACCCCTGTGTGGAATTTTAATAATTAGCCATTATCTTGAGTGTGCCATTCCCAGCAGTAATTGTTACTCTGGAAAGGGTTAAGTGACTCCTTCCCTCCCTCAGCCTTCAAAGAGGAATGAATCGCCTGAGGGAGTTTACATTCCATCACAATTCTCTGGGGGGAATACTGAGGTTGCTTTGATGGAAATAAAATACCTCGTATAATTCTGAGAACAAAAAAGCAATTTTGTTAAATTGTGCCAACATAATTTGAAGCACGAGACAACACATTTGTGTGTGTATATTCATCTATGTATTGGAGCTATTCTCCAAGACAGCGGGTTTTGTTTACAGCTGATTATTCTTTTAAATGGCTGCCAGGCAATGTGAATACATTTCAGTAACTACAATTCCAAAAGATTTTCACTCCTCATATATTTTCTCCCGTCCTTTCTGTACCGTAAGCAGCTGACATATTTGAGAAAGGAACCAGGGCTAGGACTGCCTAGAGCCATCATGAGCCTCTGGACAATGGGTCCAAACACGATATAACAAAACAAACAAATCATTTGGCTTGCTCTTGCCATCAATCTATAGTAATAAAAAATTGGCCTGTCCATGTTTGCTTATTTATTTATTTACTTTACTTATCCCACCTTTCTCCCCAATGAGGAGCCAAAGCAGCTGACATCATTTTCCTCTGCTACATTCTATCTGCACAACAACCCTGTTAGGCTGAAAGTGTGTGACTGGCCCAAAGTCACCCAGCAAACTTCCATGACAGAGTGGGGATCTGAACCTGGGTTTCCCAGATCCTAGTCTAATACTGCACCACACTGGCAGCCCTAACTCCTCAGAGAATAAAGCTAGGACACTCAACACTGACCACCAGCTTCAGGATGATTGTGGGAGTTACATGGCCAAAATTGAAAGGCATGGGAAAATCCTAGGTCAGGTGAGACAAACCACCACCAGCACCCCATTATATTTGCATTGGAAGCTAAGGGTCTCTGTTTGTGGCAGGCATAACTCAGAAAATAATGCTACATGAAAACTGGCCACCAACCCCAGAAGGAAGATGGAAGTTACAATGCCAAAAATGACGGGAACTGAAACACGCTGAACCAAGTTATCTTCACAACAGACAACATGTAATAAGAGAGCTTTTAAGCAACCTGTCATGTGTCTCTAATACTCAAATCCCCAACCTGCCATGGAAGGTTGCTGGGCAACACACTCTCAGCCAGACCTACCTCACAAGGCTGTTGTGAAGATAAAATGGAGGACAGGAGGATAATGCAGCTTTGGATCCCCATTGGGGAGAAAGACTGTTCTGGCATGTTATAAATCTAATTTTTAACGATCTTAAAAAGATTACATCATTTGTCATATAGCAAAGTAGCCTTTACAAATGGCTATTAGACCTTCCACCAGCACAATAATGATTAACAACCCAGTGCCTGAAGTGGGAGTTGTAACTTCCGTTACACACATATAAGCATTAAAACAGATTAATGTTCCATTACCATGCATGTAAGGGGTAGAGGAGGGGAAAGCATCCTTTTACTACTTTGTTAGATCACGGGGAAATACTAACTCTCCCTTCTGTTCATAATATTAACAAAGGTTTGCTACTATACTACTCTTAAGTACATTTTGTTGCCAAGCAGGATAGAGATGGGAAGGTCCTGAGACCAAGAAGTGAAAATAAAGGGGGAAGGGGTGCGTAAAAATTAGGTGGAGGGAGATAGAAATGAATGAGGAAAGAGTGGGAAAGGTTGTTTTATCTTGCTGCAACACCATAGCTACTGCTTTGCAAGATGTGGCTGAGCTGGGTGCAAGAGCTACAATCAGATGAGCTGTTTGTCTGATGTCATTGCTTCTTCCTTCCAGATTAAAAATGCTCATTCAGACAGTGACATCTGTATCCTGTTCCCCAGTCATCGGCACCCTGTTCTCACCCCCAACTTTCCCAACACTAGAGAAAATCCGATCTTTATGGATTGAGCTGCTCTCACTGCACATTTTCTGATGTCTGAACTCTCTTACAAAATCAAGCCATTTGGGAAGTCAGATCACACACTTCATCTGTGCACAATTTTTAAAATTCAGTGATATGCGCATAAGCAGATCTTCACCCCAGGGTTTTGAATCACGCTTGTGCGTTTTTGCACCCAAACATTCTGTCAGGATCAGGAGCCCCCAGAGGAGTTGTTTTTGAGTGACAAATCCCATCCCTGAAAAACCCTCTTTCCTGTTTCTTGGGGTTGGAAAGCCACGGAAATGGTCCCTAGTTATGCTCCCATACTGGCAGGGAGCCTGGGCAGGCTGGCATTCCTAATTCAGGGAGACTTGGGTAAAGCTGGAAAAATCTGGGTAAGGCTGTTTGAAAGCATCCTATGATTGACAGAAAAGTAAGTGTACTGGAGTCAATGGGGCTACTCTTATGTAAATCTGCATTATTATGGTTCCCCCCCATATACTCCAAAGAAGAGAGGCAAAGCAAAGGAGGCTGAGAGGGGTTGCAGTACTTGCCGGAGGGATTGCGAAGCTGTCAAAATGGAGTGGTGCATTGAATGAACACTTCTGTGCATGCAGGAAATACAATTTTTTAAAGGATGCTGCCCAACTGACCACTCTGTGGTTACTGCACAGCAATAATCTGAACAGTCAACCACAGAGTGAGCTGCGGTGAGGCAGGTTAAGGATGGCATGTTTGGACAAACCTCTCCGGAGCAAATAACACTGGATAAAAAGAGGTGCGGCCAGACTGCACCAAGCCTGTCATCTGACTGCAGCCAAGGAAAGGAAGAGGGAAAGGCTAGACTATTATAGAAGATGAGCTTGGTTAGCAGGCTGCAGGTGGACAGTTAGTGTAGCAGCCACCAGCCAGGGTTTCTTGTCTTGCTCCATTGCTGGATTAATTGGTGGGTTTAGCTGTTCAAGATCTTTTATTTATTTATTTATTTATTCAAATTTATATCCCGCCCTCCCCAACGGGCTCAGGGCAGCTAACAATAAGGGCACAAAGCCATAATAAAGCAGTTAAAAGCATAATAAAACAATACAAAATTACAATAAAGTGCTGGTGCTCTGAAAGATCATACTTCCAAGATGGGTGGAAGATGCACCCAGAACAACGAAGCAAGTTCCAAGACAACACTGGCCTCCGATCTTTGGCCCAGGGCCATTATGCACCCCGATGGCAGCCCACACTTTGCGGTAGCCTGGCGGAAGAGCTCCATCTTGCAGGCCCTGCGGAATTGCACAAGGTCCTGCAGGGCCCAGATCTCCTCCGGGAGCTCATTCCACCAGGTAGGAGCTGCCACCGAAAAGGCCCTGGCCCTGGTCACAGCGAATTTGACGTCCCTGGGCCTGGGGTAACCAAAAGATGTTGGGCCCCCAACAATAGTGCCCTTGGGGGAACATATGGGGAAAGGCTGTCCCTCAGTTATGCCGGACCCTGTTAGACAAGTTTGCTTCTGCCCTGGAGAAAGGGAAGTCCACGTGATAGTAGAGAGCCTTTTAATGTGCTCAGACTTCCCTGTGCCCCAGTCTCTGCGGATAGAACTGCATTAAAAATAAATGGAAAGACATTCCATTGGGTGCAGTGTGATGTTGGCTTCAAGGCCCTCCAGCTGACTTGAAAAGGCCCCCCAAAAAAATTTTGTCCCCCCCCATCCCCATCTGTCAACAACCCTGACCTGGACAATAGGCTAATTGTAAAACAGGAGGGTGGATAATGGCTTACAGGACACCTGATGGATTTATGTGTCGTTATGAGGCCTTCTTGAAAGATGTCATGTTCTCTCTCAAGCTTTAATCTGCTGAGTGTGAAAGCCATGCCATTTTGAACACCGGCAGTATATGGTTTGTTCTTTTTTTGGGTTCATTGTGATAGTACTTTAGTTGTTAATTTGCCTCATCTTTTTTTAAAACGAAGCCTTTAAAATACTGGGATCTTCTAAACTTTACTTGAGAATAGTGGAACATACATACTACTGTTGATAGTATTTCCGAAGCTGTCTTGAGGGGTGTGATACTGTCCTCTCAAAGGATGTTCTGCAGATTCTGTAGCAGGTATTGAGGGTGAGCCAGAGAGCATTCATTTTAATGTGGATCTTTGCCATTAAACTGAATGGGATATGAGTTGCACTTATAACTGACTATAGTTTAAATACCATTATATTGTAAGATAGAGTAGAGGAACATTATTTTGATGAAACTGAAACACTGGTGTGCACATCCACAGGATTTATTTATTTCATACATTTGAGTCCTGTCATTTCTGTCAAGGAGTTTGGGCAGTATGGATGGGGTTATCCCATTTTATCCTCACAGCAAGCCTGTAAAGAAGGATAGGCTGAGAGAGGAGCAAGTTCCCCTAGTGAGTATCATGCCACCTTTTCAGAGATCTGCTTGAGATGGCTCACAACATAAAGATGAAGTCATAAAGCATAAAATCATTAAAATTAACAACCAGCCAATAAAATCCAGAAACATGAAAGCTCAGAAGCAGAGCAGCCTAAATGATCCTCATAACTGTTCTCAGGCTTGAACCAGATTGTAAAAAGCAACTAAAAAAGATCTCAGACCTTCCCAGTCCGACTTCATGTGCGTCACACTGCACACAAGGTTGAAATTCACTCTGCACCAGCCCTTTACCAAATGGATAGTTGGTGCTGTGCTGAAGCAGATGGAAGGTAGCATCCGTTTAGAAAGGGGATCCAAGTTTATGTCTGAAAAAATAATGGGTAAGTATCAGGCGAGCTACCTAATTTTATTCATTGTAATCCAGCTTTCTGTTTATTCGCATTTATTTCCATCTCTTTCAGCTTGCGACTGTGATTCCCGTGGTGTACAGACCCCACAGTGCAATCGCACCACAGGACAATGCATTTGTAATGACGGGGTTGAGGGACTCCGATGTGATAAGTGCACCCGAGGCTACTCCGGCACCTTCCCAGACTGCACACCATGCCACCAATGTTTTGCTCTCTGGGATGTCATCATTAGCGAGCTAACTAATAGGACCCAGCGATTTCTGGAGAGAGCAAAGGCTTTGAAAATCACAGGGGTCAGTGGTCCTTACCGGCAGACGCTGAACTCTGTAGAGGAAAAACTGAATGAGATTAAGAGTATCATTGCCCAAAATCCAGCCACTCAGCCTCTTAAGAACATTGTGAATCTCTTTGAGGAAGCAGAGTAAGTAAAATTTTGTAAATAACCCCATTTCCTCCACCAATGGGAACACTGTGCAGTAATTTTAATGAGAATTGTACTGAAAGTAATGGGGGCTGGAACTTTACCCTACAGTGGTCATGGAAAAATTTGGAAGGAAATGGTGAGTCTGCATAGCCGTTAACAAAAAGACACACTGGGTGCGTTCAGATGGGGCATTTGCAACGGTATAGGTGCCGGTTGGAATTGGTGTACTTACCGGCGTTCACACGGCGAACATCTGCCTTCCGTCCCTAACCGTTGCAAAGAGCTTTAAACCATTGTATTCTGCCACTAGGTCCCCAAGTGGTGGTATCCTGAGTGCAACGGTTGTAATCGCTTCCCCCCCTCTGATCGCTCTCCAACGTTGTAGAGCCACTTCCGTTCGGAAGCCCGGGGCTTCCGATTTTCGCCCACCATTTTTTTTTTTAGGTTGGCAATATGCGCTTGGGCCTTAGTTTAAGGTGTTAGAGGAGTCCGGGACCTCAGGGAGGCCAGTTTGGTCTTTAAACTTTAAAGGTACATCCTCTCTTCAGGGCATGGTTTTCGGGACGGGGTGTTTTGCGTCTAGGTTCCCAGGAAGGCAGTTTTAAAACCACTGTCCTAATCTAGAAGTTTTGTTTGGAAGTGTTAATGCCAGAATGAAATATTGCTGGAGGTGTCTAGACAGAAGTCGTACCCACCCTGATTTGTACTTTGCTATCTGTGAAGTCCTGTTGCACTTTGTATGGATTTTTAAAGAGAAGAATTATGGCTTCTCAGTATCTGGGGCTTGGCAGCCAAGCACAGCACAGGCTTGCTCAAGTGGTGTTTCTCAAGACTGGCAGACTTTCATATCTGAAAAGTTCATTGTTCTCTAAATGCTACCAAATTATAAGAAAATCCTACCTGGATTAGTTTGTGTTTGGGAAGGCAGTTCTTTTCGAGCGTTAACCAGTATGGGTTCTCTTCCCACTCTGTTCTGGGATTTTTGCCTATCTGGCCTTATATTCAATCATACTATTAATCTCTGTAATCTTTCAGAAGAACTGTGTGCACTTACACAATACTCACTGAGAAAGCCAAAGAAAAATGTGCGCTTATGTGATTTGTTTAAAAAAAGCCTTTAAAAGGCAAAAGCAAAACTGAGACTAGAACCCAGCAAAACTTCCATGCTCCCTGCAGTGTCCCTTCCCCACTGAATGGCTGAAGAGTTTTTTGAAATCTGCAGCAGTGAAGAATCTCTTGGAGTGATCTTATAAAAGGGGAACAAGGAATTCTGGTCTTTAATAAAGAATCAAATGAAGGAAGGGTCAGGTGAGGCTGCAGAAATCAGGATCCAGGCCTGACTAACAGTGCAGTCCTAAACAAAGTTACAGCCTTCTAAGTCTGTTGAAGTCAGTAGGCTTAGAAACTTGTAACTCAGTTTAGGATTCCAGTACACACTTGCTACTTGCAACCAGGCCCGTAGCTACAGTGGGGTATTTCGGGGCCTGCCCCCCCTGACTTCCTGTCAAGCCCCC